GACAGTTGCTTAGCCCTAGTAACAGCCAACAGGGACAGTTGCTTAGGTCAACTAGTAAGAGTGTATCTGATGTTCGTATGGCTAATTTTCTTTGTCAAAAATGGTACACGTGTGTGCAAGCTTGCCATGGGAAACTGTCCCATTACTTGTACTAACCCCAGCCCATGACCAGAAATTACTTGGAAGTGTGCTACATAGTTCTGAGCTATAACACTATTTGTGAGCTAACAAATAAATAGTGTGGGCAATCATGTGCCAGTACCTGTTTTTTGTGTGTTTAATTCATCTGCTTAATTAACTTATGTAAGGCACAGCCTGAAGTGTTTTCTGGAATATACTAAATGATCTTCTGAGGCTGTATGGTGTATGTTATTAAAATATGTATAAACAAAGGTATGTACTTGGGATTTAATTAATTTTCAATCATCACATGAGCACAAATGTTAATTTTATATTATTAGATTGTTGGGTGACATCTGCTTGATTCCTTAGTTCTATGGCTAATATTTAGAAATAACTTGTCATTTGTACAAGCATGGTGTTATCACTCTTACAGAAATGCTGGTATGACTTCAGTATAAAGTTGAGGGTGCAGAGTCCTACAGGATCCTAACTTCCCAGCAGTGAAAGAGTGGAGCACCATAGGAGTCAATCCCATGTCACTGGCCTGAAAGTAGGAGATTTTGGTGAGTGCATCTTAGAAGAGGTGTTGGGGGTGAGGTACCCAGATTGGTATAATCTGTATTTAATGGAAAAAATATTAAGGGAGAGAATGCAGGAAAATCCTCTTGCTTTGTTCATTAGGAATACAAAGATTCTTTATTGCTCACAGCTTCCTGACTGAAAAACAAACACGAGACATGGGAGCAAGGAAAATAAAACAACTAAACAGACCAAACAGAAGATGTGAAGCTAAGATATGTTGATGGAATCTAAATTCTGCTTTCTGAAACTTAATAAGCAAAGCATGGCAGCTGACTTTAGGGGTCCTGGTCCCAGAACTAGTCAGGACTGTGTATTTTCATTAGGGGAAAATCCTGCTTCCTGGACAAATAGCATAGGAGAGTTCAGGAGAGTCACCTCAGCACACTTCCTTCCTTGATTCTCTTCTGTAGCCTTACTACATGCGTGCGATTTTGGTAGTTAAATTAGAAGTAACCACACAAAATTAAGTCAGTTTAACAGAGCATTACTAACAAGTCTGAACTATTCCATCCCTGTTAATTATTGATGTTTTGTGGTGTTAACGCTGCAGCCGTTGACTGGCTTTGAGTTTAACTAAAACCTGTTTCAGATTATATCCAAGCAGCCCAATTCTGCCCAACGTCACCGAGCAGGCAGAGGCTTCAGGGATTTAGGAGGCAGTCTGTGTGGCACTTGTTTCCAGCACACCTTTATAAAATGCAGGAATTCAGAAGTTCTGACGCTTCTAAACTACAGAGATTACTGTTTAGGAGAGGACCCATGGTCTAAAAAGCCTACCTCATGCCTTTTGGCCCCTTTGTGATGTTGTGGCCCACAGCAACCTGAGGCAATGAATTCCACAATATTCCAGTGTTAACAAGGAGCCCTCTTGTCTGACACCTTACTTAGCTTCTCACCAGTTCTCATCTGATGCAGATTAGTGAATACTTCCTATGTTTTTGTCTTCTCTACACATCTCACGATTCCTAGATCAGTACCTTATAAAGCCTTGTACAGGTTACCTTATAAAGCCTTTTACCCTCCCATATCCTCCTTTCCATGTTGAAAAATCCTATTTTTATCTTTGTTTTTCTTATATACCTCTGTATAAATATTCTAATAATCCTTCCTTTGCCTTCATTGGAGCATTTTCTCTTTCAGCTGTATGCATTTTGGCTTGGGATCGCCGATATTCAGGAACGTGCTTTAATGACACTGTTTGGATTGCTATCAGTTTCTTCCCTAGCAGCTCCCACTCGCCAGCTGAGGATCTCAGTCGAGCACTGAGCTGATGGCTTCCCAGAAGCCTCCAGGACTACCCTGCAATCTCTTTCCTGAGCGATAGCAGCTCGTTTAGAGCTATTGACTCCTGCCACAGATCAAGCTGCAGAGAAATAAAGCCTCGGAAAGTCCCCTCATTTATTCCAGTTACTGCTCTATATGAATGTTAATTGCAGTTAAGGGCCCTGTTGGGCCGGTACTACTCAATTAGCATACAAGTACTACCAGAGGCTAATGACAAACTTCCTGAGGATTTAATCCTAGCATACACAAAACTTTTAAGGAGGATGGGCAAAATACTGAAGATCTGTGATTTCTGGAAGAACCAGGACATAGAAATGAATAGGGCATTAACCCGACTTTAGGATTCTCTCAATTAAAGGAAAATGGAAATAAAACAATGAAATGAGCTTACCAAACGAGAAGTAAGAGGTTAAGATATTCAGAGAGTCTAAATGCAAGATAATGATACTCAACTACTTAATGAAGGGATAAAATGTTGCTTATGACCATTGTCTGTTGCTTTCATTTTACTTGTGTCCCAGGTCAAAAATGTTCTTTGACACAAACCTGGTCAAACATATAGGCAGATCTGCTCTGACACCTGTGGCTTGCAGTGAACAGAATGATAGACATCCAGGAGCCTTGCTGCTAGGGACAGGCACATGCTATTCTGAATGTTGTTGTTGAGAGATATATTTTATGTTAAAGGAAATTAAGCTTTTCTTTTTTATTATTTTACTTTTGCACAAGTCATTCTGTTAGTGTAAAATAATCAGTCGCATACCCAGGGATACAGCACTTGCACTAACACAACATATGCAATTATTTTTTGGTCTGGAAGGGCTTGTGTTGGTGTGTTTCCATCACTGGTAGCTAGCCACAAAGGAAGGTGCAGAAAAGCTTTCTGAATGCTTGGTACAATGCAGGGCTGACCTGGTCCCTACACTCTGCTCAGCTGGGGGTTTCCCAGACATCTGCCAGCGCAGTGGTGGGAATGTGGTTGCGACAGCAAGGAACATATCCTTGTGCAATGGGAAGTTTGGAGAGGAACTCTGTGACCAATCTTGTCCCTGAATTCTGCCAGAAGACTTGCTCTTCCCTCAGGCAAGCTGTCTCAGGGATAAAACAGAGATGTAGAAACTGTGTGGCAGTTAAACATGATTAATTCCTTTGCTTGGGAATGCTGTGCTACTACAGCTCAATTTTCAGGTGTTTTAAGTGTCATGACTGTAGCCTACCATCTTCTGGGAAGTGTTCCACTTAAATTAGCCAGTGTGATGTCTTTGATCTCTAATTTACTGAACAGGGGTGTGAGTTGGGAGAATTTTTGGTGTTCAGTCTGAGAAAGATTAGCATGATGCTTTGGGGCTGAAGTAAGCAACTACAGCAGTTGTGCATGGAACATTTGCATTCTTTGTTTGTTTGTTTGTTTTTTCTCTTCTTTTTTTTCCTCTCTCCACCCAAAAGTCTTTTGGGGAATTTTCCTCCTGCTACTTTCAGGACCAGCACACCTCACAGATGATCTCCCTGTGTGAAGAGCAGGCTGAACACTCCTTTCAAGAGCACTCACAAACAGACCCTGGTCTCGCCCCTGCCTGGCTATGCTACAGCTCATGGTGATGTTCTGTATTTCCACACAACTCTAGAGCTTCTGCCTTGGGAGAACCGTAGAGTGCTTGCAAAGGAAATTGAGACTAGAAGTTAGGAGGGCAGTGAGGCACTCAGAAGCTGTGGATGCCCTGTCCCTGGAGGCATTCATGGCCAGGTTGGAGGAGGCTGGGGGCAGCCTGATCTGGTGGGTGTCAGCCCTGCCCATGGCAGAGGGATTGGAACTGGTTGTACTTTAAGGTCCCCTCTCTCCTAAGCCATTCTATGACTGATTGATTCTGTGACTTCTGTCAATAACGCCCCACTTGTGAAAGAAAACAAAGGAATTTGTGATTTCTGGAAGCACACCATATGTATTTTCTAGCTGTCTTTCTTCTTAGACGTTGCAGTAAAATCAAGAAGTCTTTCATATGCTGCTGTACAGAACTTTATATATAGACTCTCCATGGAGACCTGCTTATGTAACATATTCAGACAGTGTGCTTGAGTTGGAGACACAGCACACTGAGGGACATTTCCATCTCAAGTCCTGGTTGCTCTCGCTGATCCCCTAAACCCGTTCCTCCCAAACAGACCCAAACAGTCTGCAGAACCTGGGGGTGGAATAGATGAGAGGGCAGAAAGTGCCGTGCCCGATGCTGGCAGTGCCACGCACCTCAGAGAGGAGCCTGCCCCACACGGAGCAGCAGCAGCGCCAGTGGGAACCATGCTGCCGTGTGGCAAGCGCTTATACAACAAGCGGGCACTAGGACACTTGTAATGTGGGTCACTGTTTTTTCAGAGTAAAAGCTTTTCGTGAGGAACAAAGTGCCGAGTTGTGCCGAAGATTGGGTATTCTCTATTCCTGCGTGATTTTCCCTTTCACCTTTCCCGCCGGCAGGTGACAACTCCCCTCGGGTTGCGGGGACCCCGCCGCGCCCCCATGGCGCCGGGCCCTCGCTCATCCCCTCCCGCGGGACGCAGAGGGTCCCGATACCGCCCCGGCACTCGTCGCCCGCCTCAACGCCTGCCACAGCGCTGGTAGAAATGCCGCGCCGCGTGAGGAGCAGCGAGTGACGGCGGCCGCCCGAGGCGAGGCGGGGAGCGCACTCCGGATCCGCTGGCCCCGCCCCGTCCGTCCGCCACCTCGCCCGCCCCCCGCGCGGAGGAGGAGCTCCGCGCCCCACGCGGCTGCTCCGCGGGGCGGAGCGGGCGCCATCGGCGGGCAGGGCCGGCACCTCGGCTGCGTCCGCCGTGCGGGGTGTGCCGGCCGCGGGTGGGGGCCGGGCGGTGCTCCTCCGCTCCCGCCTCCCCTTCCTCCGACCTCCTCCCACCCCCCCCCCCGCCGCCTCCCTTAAAGCGCGGTGGGCGCCGCAGTGGAGGCAGTAGCGCAGTGCGGGCGCAGGGCGGCGGGGGGCGGGCGCCATCGGCTCGGGCGCGGCTGAGCTTCCCTGCCCGCCTCCGCTCCGCTCCCGCCCCTCGGGCTCCGGCTGTCACCGCGTGAGGAGGAGCCGCCGCGCGCCGCCAGCATGTTTGACAGGACGCGGCTGCCCTTCGTGGCGCTGGACGTGGTCTGCGTGGTGCTGGGTAGGTCGGCGGGCGCGGGGCCCCGGGCTTGGCGTCGGTCGGGTGCGAGGGCTCTCGGTGCCCCGCGGCGCTGCCTCCCGCACGGTCCCACGCCGGCCGCACGCACGGCGCTCCCTCACGCCGCTCCCTCACGCCGCTCCGCGCGTCCCCGCGCCTCTCCCTCCGCCTTTGTCCGCTCCTTCCTCCTCCTCACTTCACTGCCACCGGACTGCGCAGGAATCTGGTCGCTGGCTGTCTCCAGCCGTCCCCGGCTCTCGTCTCGGCGGGGTCGTGTCCCAGTGGAAGCGGCAGGCTGCTAGCGCTCAGGGCTGGGTGATAGCTCAGGGGTGCCGGCAGCTCCTTCTTTTTGTTCTCCGCTCTTCGTTCCCGCACCTCGCAGGCTGGCTGGCCAGCCGGCTGCGGCGGAGCTCCCTGCGGGAAGGGAGGTAAGGGGTCTGCGGCCCGAGATCGGAGGAGCCTCGGGGCTGTCCGGAACGACGAGCCAGGGACAGCGCAGGGAAAACTCCTCGGACTGTTGTCTGAAGTCCACATCAGGTGCTGTGCAGCGAGGATTCGCGTTGCTTCAAGGTCTGAGTTGCGTGCTTACTCAGAGGAACGGAGCTCTTGCTGCAGGTTGAAGTCTGAACTGCGTTAGTCCGAGCTGTCTGCGCTCACGTCGCTGAGCAGCCGGCGTGGGGCGGGGCGGGGGGCTTTGGTGCGGGGCAGTGCTCACTGTTGGACCGCAGCGCTGCCGCAGCTTCCCCGAGCTGGCCCAGAGAACGGCATCCTACTCGCTTGTCTCTGTCCGTCTCTCTCTCCTTCCCTCTTAGAACCACAGCTATGACCTGTCAGTTGTTCTCTTCTCTGTAATCACACGGTGCGAGCAGTGGCGTTAATTATTGATCAGCGTAGGGGGGTTTGCAGTGCTGTGACTCCTGGACATTTGGGTGTTGGGAACCAGGGAAGCATCTTTGTGTCTGATAGGCTGCTCTTCTTGGTGACTTGGAAGAAGCCTTCATAAGGTGGTGGTGTTTCGATCGGAAGAGCGTCGTGTATTTGTTGGTGTGTCCTTAATCTTCACTTCGTAATCAAAGGAGTTCTGCTCTTCAGTGATAAAGCTGGGCTTGCTCCTGTCGTGTTCAGCAGGGAGTGTTCAGACAGGTCTGGCTCACTAAGTGTCTTGCTCGGAGATATCTCTAGCATCAGTATAAAACATATGAGCCGTGTTCTTGCTTGTTTAGGCTGGTGATAGGCATTAGATACAGGTTATTAATCTTCCTGTTTGAAGGAACTAAATGGCATTCAATGATAAAAAAATGAAATGGTTGACAGAAGTTTTTTCCTCCCCGCTTCCTTGATAGTGGAGGTGTGCTTCATTTTTGACTTAAACATGTTGAATTAACAGGTTTCAGTTAAATTCCATTTGGGGCAAAGTAATAGAAATGAAGGAATTGGTTAAATACTAGATAAAGGACTGAGTTCTTCTCTCTTCCTCTTCTCTGGCTCCCGCATAACTCTGGGAGGGTTCTTAGAACATGGGGTTTAAGCCTGTGCATCTGAAAGGGGGGTCTGTTTTAATTTTTCAGTATAAGAAAACTGGTTCCTTTTCATCCTACTTTGCCCTTCCCCCTGTTCACGCATTTTGATATCTGATCAAATGGCCGACATAACTGCCTGGATAAAGTGTCTTTCGGCTAACCTGATACACAGTATCTCCACCAAAGAGACCGTAAAGCCTCCAAGAGGAAACTTCTTTAACTGTGTAGTAAACCAGCTTTAATTAAGGACAGAGCCTTGTCTGTGGGTAATAGCCTGTTCTGCTTTGCAGAGGGCTACCAGTGCTGTGCTTGTGACCCTGAGGTAACTTACCAATGAGCAGCTTGGCTTGCTTCTTCTCTTCTTGTCCCTCTGCCACCTCTGCTTGCTTTCTGTCAGTGAAGATGGGTAAGAAAAACAATAACTCTTAGCAGTGCAGGACAGAAAAAACAAGGATATCACTTCAAGTAATGGTGACCTGACTCGTGAGGTCACTGTGAATGCAGATGACTGCATATGACTTGTTCTTCCAACCGTTCCTTGCACAGGTTCAACTTTCCCAACATTTTAGAACACAAATGTTCCAGAAAGGAAGAGATTTAAAAAAAACAAACAAAGCAAACTACAAAACAACAAGGAATTGCTAAGTTCAGGTCATAAAATAAGAGCAGGTTAGAGTCTCCTGGTTAATGTAGTGTCAAGCCATTGGACTTAGGTTGTTTCAGGCAACCAAACTGGAACGGCGTTCAGCTCTTAACTGGTCTTAAAGCATCCTCCCTGCCAACCTTTCCATCTGTAAGGGAGAAGGAATTCTGGGAAGGTGATCTTAAGCTATTCTTCTTATCAGAATACTCATTTTCCCCTGATAAGCATCAAACCATTATCTTAACGAAAAAAAAAAAAACCCACAAAAAACCAACCACCATAGGCTGCAGACTTCTGCAGTGCTTGCTTTTAGAAGAAGAGCAGTGAGGAGGCTGTGCTGCAGTGCTGGCTGTGTGTGTGCTGCATGGCTGCACAGAGGTCTGCAGTAGTGCTGGGGGAAGTTCCCTTGCTCTGTGCGGTCCAATAGACAGCAGTCAGTAGCTACTCTGTTCTCTGGAAAGCACAATGGCCAGGGCAACAGAGCTTCTTTCTCCTGCATAATAAGGTTTACTGCATGTCCATCCTTATTTTATTGATGGAATGACATTTCATATGGCACTGCACAGATGCGTCTAGGACTTATATTCAGTTTAAACAGTAAAGCTGTTTTACACTGATACTAAGAGTTGGGCTTTTTCTTATTTATTATATGTTCACAAGGATAAATAATAGCTTACAGGAATTAATTCTGCTTTTGGCTGTTGTCTTCAACAAGGCTATTATTTGATTTTTATTAGGCTCCTTCTTAAGGTAGCTAGAAAACACCTTAAGAACGAAGTTGGGAATCATCCCAGAATGAGTGAGAGAGTATTTAATATGTTTACTTTTAGATCAAACGCATTAGGTGTAAGTCAGGCTAGTATTGGAAAAAATGTAATTAACTTATAATTAATTTCTGCAGAGGTGACTAGGAAGTAAGAAAAACATTCTCTGCGAAGTTAGACTCTAGGACAATTCAGTTCAGGTCTGTTTGGTGCAATTCTTGTTCATTCTTGTTCAACTTCTCTGCAAGGATCAGGTTCAACGGAACTGTTTCCCATCCTCTTCCTTGATTTTTGTCAGTTATCCTATAGCTTTTGTTAGCAAGCTGTGTACTTGTCAGTTGTGTTTGCTGCTGTAATGTAAGAATATGTAAACCTAAAATTAGGAAACATTAATTAAAAGAAAAATATTTATAAATATATATATATATATTTAGATCTTTACTCTTCTGATCCTTCTGCAATAGGCTGAAAATAGTGCTGAGCTACTTAAGTACTTGGTGGTTTCAAGATGCCAGTGAAAGCTTACCTGCTGCCTAATTGTTCTTTTGCAGTGGGATTTTTTGCTTCTCAAATACTTAAGCTCCCTGAACTGCAAGTAGCAAATGCAAAAAGAGAAGGGATCTGTAGGCTGGTGGTGGTGGAAAAGATGAGATGGTGGCAGTCTTAATTTGATGTCCCAAAACCACTTTTTAAGATCATTTAAGTAAGAGAGGGGAAAGTTCTAAAAAAGAACATATGAACAAAAATAAAATACAAACTACTTATATGGCTTTCTTTTTCTCTAAACATTGACTATTTAGATTACAGGGATGTGCTGTGATACAGCACAATATGATAAATATCAAACATGCACATAGAGCAGGCGTATTTGCTTTCACAGTGTGTGTTGCAGGGAAGATAGATGGCTGGACCATTTTGTGCTCCCTGTACAATGTTCTTGATTTAAGTATTGTTACTCTGTTCTGAGAGCATTTGTTGGTGGAGGCAACCTTGTGCAAGACAGCAAGGTATTGCTGTTCAGTGAAGAAAGACCTGCTTCTATGTGGGTTAGAACTTCCTGATGGATTGCCCTAGATTCAATAAAACATCCTCCCCTCTTACTTATGACTCACAGATACATGGGTCACATTTCCACATCAAGTATGTGCTTAACCTTTTTTTTTCTTTTTTTTTTTTCTCATCTAGTGCATGAGTTCCTAGTTAAGCCATAACAGCTTTGTGTCAAAGAGCACTTATCTTCAAATGATACTGTCCACTGAGTACCACAGGATGGTGTTCAGAAGGACTTTTTAAGTTCCTTGGAAACACATTTGTCACCTAAAACTCAGAAAGCCTTCCATCTCGCACAGGGCTTTCTTGAACACATAAGACTGAGTTTTCCAGTTGAGGTGATGTTCCTTGGTACTTGATATGGAGATTCTCTCTGTCTTGCTTGGAATTCTATGGAGGAGTTTTCAGTTAGAACATGACTAGTTAATGAATACTTCAAAGCCAGCAGCCAGGTTCTTGCTTTGCCAGGTGTTGCTGTTAAGTGTTATCTTGTCCTCTGGCTAACCTGTTCTCACGAGAAGTTCTTGCACTTGCCTAGAGCAGCACCATGTAAATCCTGATTCACCTTCCAGTGACTTCCTGTGAACCAGATCTTGAACTTAGTGCTATACTCTTCATTCTTGGCAGAGCAGAGAAAGATGCTTCTTGTCAAATACTCAAATCTTGGTGTGTTTTATTTGAAACAGGCAGAAGGGCTCTCACAGTGTGCTAGTATAAAGATGGTGCCCTTTGTTCAAGGGAGCAGTAGAAGAGATATTTCTGTTCCTATATTCTATAGAAAATGAAATGCTGCACTACAGCTAAACGGTGAAATATCACATCCCTCATCGTGGAAGTGATCCTACCTCATCTTATAGCTGCTCTGGTGCAAGCTTGAGCCTGTGCTTATTGAACACATTGAATTGACTCTAAAGACTTGGATCACACAAGCTCATACTAATGAAAAGCACCTTTGTTTGGCATCTGCATAGTCGCAGCCCTGGTCTAAGCGGGCAAAATATCGGTTGACTGTTGATGCTTAGTAGT